GACCAGCAGGTTGAGGGAGGTGATTCTGCCCTTCTACTCTGCTCTCATGAAACCCCACCTGGAGCACTGCATTCAGTTCTAGGGCCCCTGACTTAAGAAGGACATAGAGCTATTTGAGTGTGTCCAGTAGGAGATCACAAAGATGATCAGAGGGCTGGAGCACCTCCCATGTGGGGTCAGGCTGACGGAGTTGGGGCTGTTAAGCCTGGAGGAAAGAAGGTTCTGGGGGGACCTTATAACCTTATAGCAGCCTTCCAGTACCTGAAGGAGGCGTACAGGAAAGCTGGGGAGAGCCTTCTTGTAAGGGCAGGTAGTAACAAAATGAGGGGAAATGGCTTTAAGCTGAAAGATTTAGGCTAGATATTAGGAAGAAATTCTTTACTGTGAGGGTGGTGAGAAACTGGAACAGGTTGCCATTAGTGCCCTGAAGGCGTTCAAAGCCAGGCTGGACGGGGTTTTGAGCAGCCTGGTCTAGAGAGAGGTGTCCCTGCCTATAATGGGGTTGGAGCTAGATGATCTTAGGGTCCCTTCAATCCAAACTATTCTATGATCATAGGAGATCATCCAGACCCACACTTTGCTAAAGCAGGTTCCCTACAGTGTGTTGCACAGGAAAGTGTCCAGGTGGGTTTTGAATATTTACAGAGAAGTAAATTCCACAGCCACTCTGGGCAGCGTGTTCCAGTGCTCTGTCATCCTCACAGATAATAAGTTTTTCCTCACGTTCACATAGAACTTCTTCTGTTCCAGTTTGTCACTGGGTACAACTGAAAAAAGCCTGACTGCCACCCTTCAGATATTTATAAACATTGGTCAGATCTCCCCTCAGCCTTCTCTTTTGGAGGATGAACAGCCCCAGATCTCTCAGCCTTTCTTCTCATAAGGAGGTGCTCCAGGCCCCTCAGCATCTTTATGGTCCTTCAGTTGACTCCCTGTAAAAGTTCCTGTCTTTTTTGACCTGGTGAGCCCAGACTTGGAACAGTGTTCCAGATGTGATCTCACCAGGGCAGAGTAAAGGGGGAGGATCACCTCCCTTGATCTGCTGTCTACATTTTTTGTAACGCACCCCAAGATACCAATGGTCTTCTTGGCCACAAGGGCACACTGCTGGCTTAAGGTCACATTTTAATATGCTAGTGTAGCATATCTGAGATATGTGCATCCTGATTAAAGTATTATTTGTAACATAAACGCTCTTGCGCTCCAGCACAAAGTAGCTGGAATTGCAACTCTGATCTAAGCTTGACTGAGTTTGTTGAGATTCTGTTTGCCTTGGCATTGTTTAAAGTTCCCTAACAAATCTGTCACTTTTGGAGATGTGCCAAAGAACTAAGGAAACAGCTTTACTTACATCTGTGTATAAAAATGCCTCATGGAATGACTCTTTTAATTTGGGTCTTACTTTCATCCAATTCAAAATGAAAGGATAACTCTGAATGAACTTGCATATCTGAAAGTGGATCTGCTTTTTTCTCTTTACTGTGGATTGGTCTAGTGAGAGATACTCTCTCAGCTGAGAGACCAAGCCTAACATAATTTATGCCATTCAGCAGAGCCTTTGGAGCTTGAGTGTTAGTCAACAAATGTGATAGTGTTGTGATGAAATCATAAATGCATTTGATAAAAGAGCAAGGGCAGACGTATCCTTTTTCTGTTTTAATGTGCAAAATATACATCTGTGTAGTGTTTAACACCCCACATCCATATTTTTGTGTAGCATTCATCTGTAGTGCAGTACTTCAGTGTTAATTAGAGAAAAGTGTGATAGAAGAATTGAAAAGCAAAGGAAATTTGAGATTGTTACAGTTTAGTTTGTAAGTCATGAGGAAAGTCTTAATTAATGGATTTATATAACGAGAAATAGGCTAAGTTCTCTCTCTTTGAAAGTATTTAGGTGAAAACTTAAATTTCAAAAAACTTGTAAGTTAGCTGTTCAGCAGCTGTGCTATATCATCTACAGCAGGGCACATGGAGTTTGGTCCTTGATAAAAGGGCACCCCTGATTCTTATTTGCATGACTATACCTAATGGAAAAAGAAGAATGGAAACAAGTCTGGTTGCTAAAAATAAAAAATAAAAAAGTTAGCCTTTCAAAGTAACGTAGATATTGCATCATGACTGATACTGCTTTATCATTTCTTGAACAGAAAAGACTAAAATATGTTCAGAGTTTCTGGAAAATGTGTTACTAGTCTTTAAGAGCATCAAATTTACTTTTTTACATTTTATTTCCCAGCTATAATAAATGAAGTTTAATTCCAGTTTGAATGAAGTGTTCCACTTCTCACTCATCTGCAGAAACTGTTAGGATTTTATGTAGTAAGGTCAAAGAATGGAAGTTAAGTACAGTCTTAATGTGTTAGAATAGTTGGTCATGGAACCAGGGAAGAATTACCAGCTTGTGCAAGCATTGAAGTGTATTTTAGTTGTCTCCATATCACTGTCATTATCTCTTTGGGAGTGAGTGTGTTATAGTATCTTCTTCATGGCCATGTCTCTTTTGCTGTGGCACACCACTACAGCAACCAAAGAAAGCATTTTAAACCATGTGAGTTCTTAGGAGCTGACAGTTTGGAGTACTGCAGAAGAGGGTACTGTAGAAGGATGTGTGAGTTTTATGTAATGTGTTAGGAAACCTTAAGGTCTCATATTACTGCTGCTGCAAAAACCAGCCTGATATCTTTTCATCTTGCTAGTATTATATCAGTAGATGAGAAGCTAAGATGTAGTTTTAATGCATGGAAGAAAATCTTCCGATCATCTACCCAGAAAGAAAGGTATTGCAGATGTATAGAGTTTCGATTCTGAATTTAGCTGGTTAGTTAGGGTGAGGTAAGAACATGCTTTGTCATGTGCTTAGTAATAGCTAACATAGTTAGCTATTAAAAGCCAATATGTGAAGAATATAAAAGCATGATTATTTCAATTTTGTAATTGAAATGTGGATCAAATTTTATTTTCACTATACAAATGAAGACTGAGGAGATCAACAAAAGGTATCTTCATGTTAATAAATGCTTATGCACTTCAAGTAAAATAGTTAGGTAAAGATGAGTTTTACAGTCCTGGCACAGGGAAATAAAAAAGTAAGAAAATACTCTTACAGTGTTTCAGTCAGTAAAGAAGAAATGACTTACAGAGATTGCATTGTGGCACTAAAGACATTTGTGTCTGTTGCTATCTTGGAATTATCATCATTTAAATCAGCATGGCCTCTCCTTGTCAGTACTGACTTAGTGTGAAGATTTTTTGTATTTCAGGGAAAATATATTTTAGGTCCACCATGTGCTTCTGTTTTAACTTATGGATTGTTTCTCTTGTCCAGTAACAAATACCTGTGTTAGAATTTATGTAAAACTTCATTTCTCTCCCTACAATTCTATATAGCCCTATGTGAAGCAGACATGATGACATTATCTGTTTGAGCATCCTATTTTCAGTACTGATACTCAGAAAGTTTTATTGAGGAATTTTATTTAAAAATATATTTGCAGTTGAAAATTTGTTATATTAGCTTCTTGCAGCTGTGTTTTAAACACGCAAAACAGAAGATATCTCAGTTCCTCAAATATGAAGGCTTCTTAGATACAACTCTTGGCTTATTTATCTTTCTCCTTCACATTAAAAGAAAATCTGAAAGGAGTTTGTACCTGAACAAATTTAACACCATCTCCATGACAACCAGCTAATTAATTGCTATTGGTATGGCTTTGGTCCTCTTTAGTGAACTGATACTCCCCAGCTTTTTTTCACGTATCTTCTGGGTTTTCTGTGAAGGTCAATTATTTAGTGACAGCATATACTTAGAAAAAGCAGCTTGTCAGTACAGGCAACAACTTTCTTTAAAAATAGATCAGTCTTTCCTGTGTTTTCCTCCCAGTTTTACTTCCTGCACAGTAACATGAGTTGTGTGGCAGGGTTCTTCTTGCTTTTCATTTCTTTTGATTGTTTGTGTTCATTATGTATATCGTGACTGTGACAACACTGCAGTACAGGCATTCCCCAGCTTAGTTTATATAAGACTGTAGTAATAAAGAGAAATTCATCTGCAGCATTGCGGTGGTAGTGTAGGCTAAGAGCTAAGGTAGTTCATTTCATTCTTGGGAAAGATCTTCTAAATGATGTTGAACTTTGAACTGCATTTCTGTACTTGTGCATGCTAGTGTAAAGATAATTGTTCACTGCCTCTTACAATCTTCGTTGATGGTACGTTTCTTATGGGAAGATATTTTATGCTTACTGTTGGTTGAATGGTCTCACTTGAAGTGTTGTAGGCAACAGTTCAATATTCAGGTGGACACCAGTGATGAGTGATGTGCCTCAAGGAACAGTGTTGGGACCAGCACTGCTTAACATCTTTATTGGTGACATGAACAGTGAGGATTGAGTGTGCCCTCTGCAAGTTTGTGAATCACACCAAGCTGTGTGGTGCTGTCAACACAGCAGAGGGTAGGGGTGCCATCAGTAGAGACTTTGACAGGCTCCAGAGGTAGGCTCATGTGAACAACATGCCATTTGACAAGGCAAAATAACAAGGTTCTGCAGCTGGGTTTGTGTTGGTCATGTCTAATTGATGTATGAATTGTTTGAAGCTGTTCTACAAATTTGTTTATTGGGTGCCAGATTTTTTGCTGACTGTTTGTGGAATATTTCTGCAATTATCTCAGGTAACTTACTAATGCTTGTGGGAGATGCATTTTGATATTCAGTTATTGTTATGAACTCTCTTGAAACAAAGTAAAACATTAAAAGGATTGACAAGAGACTTGTGTAGGAAAAGGAAACGTCCACCAAAACCTGGTAGTGAATTGGAGATGTAAGGCTGCTTAAGTGACCTTGAAGATAGGGAACATGTTCTTTATGATACTCGATTATGTCTACTCTGAATCATTATCTTTCAACTACTTATCTGACATTGTGCATTTAAAATAACATATTAATGTTTTTTTTTTGTTTTTCCTTTTCTCTTTAATATGTGATGTTCTACTGGACACGTGAAGATTGCTGTGTTCACTGTATCCTGGCTTGCTTGTTCTGTGAATTTCTCACCCTCTGTAACATTGTTCTGGGACAAGCATCCTGTGGCATCTGCACATCGGAGTCCTGCTGCTGTTGCTGTGGGGATGAGATGGGGGATGACTGTAACTGCCCGTGTGATATGGACTGTGGCATCATGGACGCATGTTGTGAATCTTCAGATTGCTTGGAGATCTGCATGGAATGCTGTGGGATCTGCTTCCCATCCTGAAATACTTTCTTTTCCTAGTTTTTTCTCTTAAAAACTGGAGACAGCTTTTCTTTAAATACATTTGAAGAGAGACAAGGTAGGATTTTCACACAACCAACTGGTATTGCACTGCTCATTCCCGATACATAAATATATTTTTTAAGCAATCCTCAAGTCTATATTCTAACACAAATTGTATAGTTTTGTATGTGAATCTCAAGCTACATTCCAGCTTTCTTTTGGCTTTGCAAAGGGAAGATTTTACTGAAACTGAACTATAGGCCTGCTGCTGCAGGTGATACATGAGGGCAAAGTTGCCATTTGAATTTCGTGACTGGTTTTGGTCAGAGAAGAGACTACAGGGCAAAGCCTTAAGTACTTGTCTTTACCTACTTTTAATATTTAAATGCTCGAGTGGCTCCATACATAACATTCCTTTACAGGAATTCTTAAGTTCTTTTTTCAGTTTCCTTAGGGGTTGAAAACAACCTATAATTTTAATCTAAGTTAAATTCTTAGCACCAGTAATCTACTGTTGATTTTGCTACCGACATCACATTGACAGTGTTTCTTTTGTTTTGAATATTTCATTGGTTTGAGTGAGATTCTTCATATTTTCCATTGTTGCTAATACCTGTAGATTTGGCAAACTAAAGTAAATGTAGGTTTTGCCATCTATTGGAATACCAGGATTTGTTGCTGTCAGTCAAGACAAAAAAGAGAAATTATGTTTTACTGTTTTACTTAAGTACTAATATTACTTGAAATGCTTCTTTTTAGAAAGAGACTTTGGCAATTTCTGTAGACATTAAATATATCCTTACACTAACAAACTAATAGAGTAATAAATCTTTAAAATTTGGCTATAAAAAGGAAATTATCAAAAGTTTACTCAAGAGTCAAAACATAAATGATCCTGTCAGTTTTTGTTGTTTCACAGATAGTGTTGCATTATTTAATATTTATTCACTGTGTAGGAAATATCCATAGAGGATAGCACCATTGAAATACTGTGTAAAGACTAAATTAATACTGAATCAATCAAGGAATTCTGTTGTCATATGCAAAAAGCAAATACAGTATTCTTATACATGTTTTAAGTGTTACTTAAAAATAAGCTGTGTAGAAAATTTGTACTTTGGAAACATGTATCCTTTTCAAAAAAGAATAACATGATCTGAAATGTTTGATAAGTTGGGATTTGGTTGGCAGTTTTTTATCTATTACACCGTTAAGGGCTTCTAGTTAATATCTGTTTTTGTCATTGAAACTGTGAAATGAATTTGGTCCAACACATAAAGAGGTTTACGAGATTCCCAGATTTAGGGAATAAAGGTACCCATTTTCTTTCCCATTTGCTACTTTCTCCCCTCTACATCTGTAAACTATTAACTTTTCTGCACAAACCACCTGTACATCTTGATCTCACATAGTGTAACTTTCCTATCTACACTCCAGATTTCCCATTTGTAGATTATTGTATGTAGTAAACTTGTTAAAAGGTCATCAATAGCCAATACCTTACTTCTGTTAAGTGAATTGACCGTTAATGTCTCTTTCCACTGTAGTGAATTCAGTTTATGTAAATGTGACAAACTAAATATTGCAGGAATGTGAAGCTAAGTCAACAAATTGTCTAATATTAACCCAAGCTTCTCCCTGTGAACACTGACTAGTAGTGCTTACTACTGCAAGTTATCACTGAAGGTAAAATAGCCAAATCCTCAACTATAACAGGAAGCTGGGAGGTGCCTTAACATCTGCAGTATTGTGGCATATTCTGGTGCAATGCAGTTTTACTCAGAAGGTGTCTTATCTGTTTCTTGACTCATATTTTTTGGTTTTGTTTTATTTCCTCCTATATATTGGGCCAGATTCAGATCAGTGTTGCATTAACTAAGTACATTTCCATTAATGTCAGAATTTTCCATTGGTGTAGCTCCAGTTAGGGAGCACAAAGGTATTATGGTAATAGGCAGGCTAATAAGCAATCATATAGTTAAATTGATAAATTCCCCGAGCTCAGAATCAGGCCCATGGGGCTCAATTATGACTCCTAAAAGTCTGAACCACATTGGGAAGGGGGAAGAGGTGCATTGGTTGAGTGGCAGTGCCTGGAGGCATTTTGCCTTTGTAAGGCATAATGCCTCTGGGGAAACTGGGGGCATCACGGTGAGCACTGGGACTTGATGCACCTTGGAAAAAGTGTAGACAGTGCTTCACCCATCGGAGGCCTGTGGTTGACACAGTGGTGATGGGAACATGTTCTCTGGGGCTAGGTAGCAACACTAGCTGTCCTTCCTTGTGTCCTCATCACAGAGGGGTGAGTTATGGCTGTTTCTTGTCTGTTTGTGCTTCTGGAGGTGGGAAAAAGGACTTCCTGTCTCCTGTCCTGCTGGGATGTCTCTGCCTGAGCAGTTCCTGCTTTGTGTTTGGAAAACTGCACATTTGCATTTGAGTCTTTCAGTGAATACTGGATGTTAGTAAAAATTACTTTTACCACAGGTTAAGACAGTATGAAAATGTAAATGTCAATCCAGGGAGTCTTTTTTCTATGTAAAAATTCACACAGTTTACATAAGCCTTGTTTCTACTTACAGGAACTCAGATATTTTTTTCCTTCACTGAAATTATGAGATCCTAAGAAATGTATTTACCATTAAGAATTTATTTCCTGTTAAAATACAAATTCTAAATACGAGAGCTCTATTTATACGTACATGCATGTGTACAAACACTCCTGCACATCTGTACACATACACACATATACAGATACATTACTTTTTTCCCACTTCCTTTGTGAAATGCTAAGAACTGAAAATGCTGTGTTTGTTTACCCTTGTAGTGATTAGAACTATCAAAGTATTACAGACAATTTAAAAAATAAAACGTGAGATTTGTTTGTCATTTAAATGTAATCTGCTACTATTTGTCATAGAGATATTAGCACTTTTGTAAAATGTATCTTCGTAGCAGAGAATATTAGTGCATAGTTTAAGGACTTTCTGTATTTATATTATTAAATTCTGTTTTATAATTTTCACTCGTAGGCAATCTTGTAAGCACCTTGTGTAATAAAAATAAGCAGAATTAGAAGGAGACAAATGTGAAAATATAGTTTAAGTAAAATTAAGCCATCAGAACTTAACTGTGTGTTTTATAACAGTTCTTGTGAACCTGTACAGTGTTTCAGTATATAGCTCTGAAAACTGCCCCATTTGAAAAAATGGTAACTTGCTTTTCGTATTTTATATTAACTGGATGTGCTATTCTCAAACACTATTTTGAAATAAAGATCTTTATTTTGAAACTTTGGGATATCTTATTCTGTTGAGTTTTTATTGCGAGTCTTATTTGTGCTTTTTCTGTTACAGCGCTTATTGAAGGCTTTGGCCTTTGGCTGCTTTGCACAAAGTGTTTGAGCCAGTGTAGGTGAGCAGAATTACAGGTGGATCTGTAACAGCTCAGATGCTCCTGGCATGACACTCCATCATACAGAACAGCAGTGGAACATTTTATCATTAAGGGGCCAAATTCATGTCTTAGTGTAATTAATAAATGGAATTCCAGTCATTAATAAATTTGATCAAAATGAGAGTTATTTAAATACAGCTGCTGCAACAGTATTTGGTTTTCTAAAAACAAGCTGAGTATTTGTTTGGTTCATAACATACTGTAAATAGATAATGATGATGAAATAGCCTCTATGGGCTATGAAACTGAAGGTTTATATGCAATACCACTACTTTAAACTGAAAATTTAAATTTTAAAAATTTAAATTTTAAAATCAGTTTGTTTAAACTTAGATAGAGTAGACCATTTCATGTGTGATGTAAGCAGATATTTCTTCATGTGGCTTAAGCAGATGAGAACAGGTTTATGCTACTTTAAAACTGCAGAAACAGTACTAATTTGCACATTTTCCTGTATCTGTTTTAAAGTTATTGAATGTTCTACTGTGTCAGTGTGCATGTGGGTTTTCAGAATGTCTAAAATAAAAATACACCTCTTGGAGATGTTTTCACAAGTAGCATGAGACAGACATTCTGTGTACCATAAGTTCTTGGTAGTGAGATGATGCTGGAAACTTCTCATAGTAAATAATTGGACAAGTTGCTGCACTTGAGACTTGCTGCAGTGTTCTAAGCAGTATCTGTATAACATAATATTCCCCCCAGCTCCTCCCACAAAAAATAAAAAGGCCTTATGAAAAAGGATTGTGATCAGCAGCATAAGGGACCTTTTGGATTGAATGATTCTATTTCAGCTACTATACTCATGCTAAGAACTTCATGCTGAGTATGGTGAATCCTTTCGTGTAGTCTCTGGATGAAAAGATTTTATCTATGGTTGTGTTTTTTTTTTTTTTATCTTAATGGTTGGAATAAATGATGTATATTCTTTGAGAACATTACCATTTATATTGCTGTATTTCTGCAGAAAAGCTTTTATCAGCAGCCTAGTAACCTTGTGCAAGAAACATAGGTATCTGAAGTCTTAATCTTAGACCCAGAATTAAATCAAAGATTTGAGAAATATCTGTTATCTTCTCTCTCTTGTTCTGTGTGTATGCGTTTACACCACATGTTGAAGGACTTAATGTTGATAGTGACAACAAAAACTTTAGGCATTAATCTTACAATATTGTTTTTAATGTTCTAAACTTTCTGTCAGTTGTTTTCACTTACAAATTTAAATTTCAACTTTACCTCAATCTTTAGTATCAGTATATTGAAAAAAGATAAATAAAAATAATACCCTGCACCCAGTTCCATGATTAACTTCTTTGCTGTACTCAGTAAACTCAAATGTGGAGTTGATTGCTTCTACAAAATTCAACCTTCTCGTAAGCACACACTTAAGCTATTTACCGATGATTTGATGCTAGTGACATAAAAGAATGGCCTTCCTCTCCTTCACAAACTTCTGATGTGATGGCCTGTTTCTACTGTAGATGGAATATGAGAATTTTCTATTAATTTCCATTCTGCAAAACAGCAGGTGTTGAGTTTGATTAGGTAGTCTTAAGCTCTATATAGGTTTTAGCATATCAGCTCATCTCTCTTGAAAATAATTTAATAAAACACTAGATACAATCCAGGTTGCCTCTTTTGTGTATGTGTATTATAGCAATTGTTACACATTACCATTCAGTACTCATAAAAATGTGATATTAGGTGAAAGATTGTATAGTACCTTTTTATACCTTTAATAGTACCTTAACTAATTTTCATTGATATGCATATGCTGTTTTAACTGACAAAATACTCCATTGTAATTGGAGCTCTTTATATCATCTCAGTGTTATGTAATTGGTGCCTAAGCACTATACAATTCCTCTTCAATCAGTGGCATAGGCTTCTGCAATTTCTCTCATCTCCAAGTTGTTGCAAGAGTGACCACACAGTGAATATGCTATACTCCAGTTTGTATGCCTCTCACATAACCATCTTTTTTTTCACAGTAACTGTTTCTTTAAATTAATCACACTGTGATTTTTGCCGTTGTGTATTTACTTATTTTTTTAAGTATCTTTGTTATTCAAAGAGCAGACAAAGGACTTCTATGTGATGGCAGGAAAATATTACATTGTAAGTTACTTCTTTCTTTTCTCTGTGTTCACTGCTATATGCAACTCCTAATCAAAGACTTGTGAAACTGGTGTGTTTGGAAATGTAGAATATATCTAATTTACTGTAGTTCATTTGTTTTACATTTGAATATAAAAACCTCAAACAAACTTAAATTCTGCCTTGCTCAATGAAATAAGGAACTGAAAGTTCTTTTAGTTGAGATGTACTCTGCAGTCTTGCAAACCAGCAGTCTTCAAAATAGTTCTCACAAGAGTAAGACCAATATATTATTTTAAAATTAATAGATTTTGCAGTGTCATACAAGCTTTTAGATTCTCTGCTACTTTCAGTTACTGAAGACTAGTAAGAATATGCTTGGAAAAAGAAATGTACTAAGCACCATGGGTTTGCTTTCCTCCCTAGGAAATCTAGCTCCACTTGTCTGTTTCTTCTCTGATGAGGAGACACCTTGATTACATATTTAATGTAGAGTAACAGCGATGGTTTAGAATCCGTGATAACTCCAAGGTCATTATGAGTAGTGTGTGAAGGATAGAGCGAAACACTGCACAAGTATTTCGCTACTGTTGACAACTGCTGTCTGTATGTCAGTAATCTGCTTTGCAGCTACCATGCTTTCATAAGGTTAAGTATAAAAAAAATTAAGGTATCCATGACTGCAATGTTAGATTCTGACTTGTTTCTTCTGACAGAATAATTAAACTTATTTACACAGTTACATTTTAGTAAACTATTAGCACCAGCTTAACTGTAACACATATTCTGATGAAAGTACATTAAACAGCAATCCAAATGCAATTTAGCTGCTGAAGGCATTATTTTCTATCTAATTATTCATAAATTAATGAATAAAATTAAATTCCAATCACTGAAAAAAAAATGAAGCAATGGTGAGAATCAGAACTACAGATTAGTTAAAGCTATGCAATGCATAACAGAATTAAAGCTTTCTTTTATTCAAATTCAATGCTTAAAAAAGAACAAATCCATCATCTTGAAATTTGACTTGTAGCTTGACATTAAAAATAATATGAGTAGAATTTTCAGTGGGGTAAGCACAAAACTAGTTCAAGTAGTGTCACTCTCAATTAATGTACTCAGGTGGTGTGCCCATTAAAATTCCCACTTGTGGGTTCAGCTTTCTATGCAAATGGGGTCATTACCTGGAGAATTTAATTGGGTATGACACTGGGAGTAGGAATTTTCCTTTCAAAATAAACCTACTTGCACACATTTTCACTAGAAATTTGATTGTTACATAGACTTCATATTGTTTGGCTCTATAAATATTTACCAAAATTGAGAATGTCTTCACTTATTTATTTTTTTACAGGGGATTCATAATGTATCAAAACGATTTTTAAATCATTCCATGTATTGCGTATGCAAGTCTTGTTACAAAGACCTGTGGTGAAAATGCGTTTTGGGTGTTAAATTGATATTTTTACATGTTTCACATCCTTTTAAAGCTCACATTAATTTTTATAGCATCTGAAACTAGAACTGTAGCATTTTTATAGTATATGTATGTGTTACTGAAAACAGATTGTGTAATACGGAAGTTGTATCTCACACATTATTGTGAATGGACAAAATTATATTGTGTTTCTAATACCATATTCTAACTTTTGCTGCAGATTACTTTGCAGAATCACTTTTGTAAAGAAGGCTAATATTGCAAGACATTAATTCCATACACACACATAAATATTGAGGAAATGCAAACGTATGTGGCTGGAAGGAACTTCTAGAGAACTTGTAGTTCTGCAGTGTAAGCCGAAAGAGTGTCTATGAACATGTTCTTGATTACCTCCAGTGAAGGGAGTTTTGGGCATTGTAGAGACAGTAGGCACTAGCGCTATAGTTGTTGTTAGAGAAATAAAGCTTCTGTCTAAGATCCCATTTAATCTTATTTCTCTAATGCTGACATATCCATGTTCTATTCCCAATGGATATGTAGAACAATCACCATTCTCTTGTCATAACCTTTCCTGTATTAACCTTTCACTAATTTGTGTACTTCTGCCTAATTTACCTAGTCCAAAGAAATCCACTCTAATTTCTTCAACCTTTCTTAAGTACAACATTTCAGTACAACCTCCATTTCAAGCATTCTGTACTGCATGATTTTTACTTCTCATTTCAAAGTATCACAAGACTGAGAAAATAACTTGAACAGGACTTCTCTGGAAATAAAAAGCTTAGATGTTGCACACAGAATTGAGGTAAGAAATACATTTGTGTCCATAACATTCATAGATTTCTGGGCAAGAAAATTGAAGGTACTTCAGTTCCATTTTCTCTAAAGGAAACAGTCAAAAGAATCAAAAATGTGCAATATGGAAAAGATGTGGATTTGTGGAAAACTTTTTACAGTTTCCAGGGTGATTATTTGGATTGTTGCCTTAACAAATGAAAAGAGAAACTGACTGTAGCATGACATTAAAGCTTATCCTCATTTCTTGATTCTGTGTTTTTCACCATCTCAGCTTTCAGTGTCTTTTTCCTAACCAACATCCTCCGTGTTTTTAGTGAAATGCCCTGTGCAGTTCTATTGATTCTCGTTGCTTCTTTGGTGAATAATGCATACTAACCTATACAAAAAAAAAAAAAAAAAAAAAAAAAAAAAAAAAAAAAAACAACCCCAAACTCTCTATAATGAAGAATGTTGTTTTCTTTATTAAATTAGTGGCAATTACCACAATATCTTTCATA